TGCCTGAGGCCCTGGGTTCAATTCCTCAGCACCACATAAGCAAAAAGAAAAAAGCCGGAAGTGGCGCTGTGGCTCAAGTGGTAGAACGCTAGCCTTGAGCTGAAGAGCTGAGGGATAGCGCCCAGGCCCAGAGTACAGGCCTCATGATTGGACCCCCCCCCAAAAAAAAATAATGAACCAATGTGAAAAGGAACTGAGTGTGTGGCTCAAGTGATAGAGCCTGTGTGGCAAGCTAAAAGCCCTGAATTCAATCCCCACTACCTTGGGGAGAGGATGCTGGTGAGCTCTTTAGAAATAACAGCTTCTCACTGGGTACCAGTAGCTAGCTCATGCCAGTAATCCTAGCTACTCAGGAGGCTTCTTGGTTTGAAGCCAGCTGAGGAAGGAAAGTCTGTGAAACTCCTATCTCCAATAAACTACTCAAAAAAAGCCAGAAGTGGCACTGTGGCTCAAGTGGTAGAGCACTAGCCTTGAGCAAAAGATGCTCAGGGACAGTGTCCAGCCCCAGAATTCAAGCCCAGGACTGGCAAAAAAGAAAGAAAAAGAAATAATGGCTTTTCAAAAGGAAGATCCTTATTAATACTTAAATCTTCAGAATCACATGGACTAAAAAAAACACATATTTTAATTTACTTAGTCCTGTATTTTAAATAATTTGAATGTGTTCTAGTTTAGAATCCATATGAAACATCTCTTGGAAGTTTTCAAAGAGGCACTGAAGATTTTTCCAGTATAGGTTCACAGATGCCTCTTAGCACATTCATTTCTTAGGTTATCTAAGAAATCGTTTTTACTAATATCTTTCTCTTGCTAATATAAACCAATTTTATATTACTATCTACATATGAACCTAAGTGTGCCACACTGTTCTTGTTGGAATAGGAGGTAGAAAAGTAAAGAAAAGCTGGGTACTAGTGGCTTACACCTGTAATCCTAGCTACATAGGAGGCTAAGATCTGAGTATTGTGATTCAAAGCCAGCCAGGGCAGTAAAATCCGTGAGACTATTTCCAACTAACACCAAAAAGCTGGACTTGGAGCTGTGGATCAAGTGGTAGAACTAGAGAGTGCACAAAAGCTCAGGGACACTTAACAGGCCCTGAATTCAAACCCTAGAACTGGCTCGCACACACGCACAGACAGACATACACTAAATAGAAAATTGTTTTCTTCAGTTAACTATTTTTCCTATATTGTGGGAAAGATAAACAGTCTTGTATCAGTAATCAGATACTAAGTTGTGAACAGAGTGTAAGTTCACTAGTAAGTCATAGAATCATGGGAAAACCTTTAATCTCAGCTTTAAAATAGCAGGATAGAAACAGAAAACAAAAAAGAAAGTTTTCAAACTACATCATTCTCAGATTCATACAATTGGTACCAATTGTCCCATTCTTATTCCCTTCTACCCATAACACATACATACTATGAATTAAAAGTTGTGTTACTTTTATCTCTTTTTTTTTCTTTTATCTCTTTTTTTATAGGTTCCTTTTCACTCCAAGAAAGGGTCCCATTGCCAAAACAAAGCTTGAAAACATAGCTCTGAAAGAAAAGATCTAGTTCTATGCTTTTATATATCTATGCAGCCATATTTACATAATATAATCTTGTTTCAAAATATAAAACACGGACTTTCCTGCCTGGGCTGGCTTTGAACTGTGATCCTCAGATATCAGCCTCCGGAGTAGCTAGGATTACAGTCATGAGCCACCAGCGCCTGGCAACCTGTTTACTTTTTAACACATGAGGAAATAAGTGTTCCTTATCTCACATGCATATTTAAATAATCAAAATCATCAAGAGGACAACTACTAATTGATTGTCATGATTGCTAATTCAGGTAGTTGACAGAATTATTTACAGTTAACTCTTGAACAACTTCGGTGGGAAAAAGCATGAAACTCTATCAAAATTAACTACTGAAAAATCATCAACCCCTCTCCCCCAAACTTAACTACTCATAGTCATTGACCAGAAACTTTAGTGATAACCCAGTTGGATAGCACATATTTTGTGTATATTATATCTGGTTTAAGAAAAAAAAAGTAGGAACCCTATCTCACTTTTTTACTACTGTAGGCAGTTTACAGGAGAGAGGGACTATTCAAACCAAGATGACCTGTGCCACAGGGCATTTTGAGTGGACACTTAACAACACTTGAGGTTGTCAACAACTACAACAGTAGGTAGCTATGAAATGATTGTTAAAAGTACTGCAACTCATTTTATGGTTTTTTTTCTGATTTAATACTTCATTATGTTTGTTTACATTCTCTTGACAGAATGGTGCCCATATGGTTTATGTGTTTAAATTTTTATAAGATCTAATTTTTTGTGCATATTCCATATAATAAATAACAAATTGGACTACTATCTACATGTGTATATATATATATATTTCTTATGACATTGCACTTTATTTACATTGTTATACATTTCCAAATCTACACAAAATCTGTATATAAGTGGATCTATGCAGTTGAAATTCATGTTGTTCAAAGGTCATTTTGTTATCTTAAGCCTGTTGGCATATACTTATTCATGTGTGAATTATTTCATTCTTATATTTGGTAATGAAGTTGTTTTAATAAAAAAAAATTAAACTTGATCTGTATTGTGTAGGTTTTGTTTATCAGAAACTAGTTGTCCACAAGAAGATCATTTCCCGCCCAATCTTTGTGTGAAAGTGAATACAAAACCCTGCAGCCTTCCTGTAAGTTCTAAAGCTAATTTTCAAAACACATTACCAATATAACTATCTTAATTAGTAACTACAGCTGTTGTTAATCCTAGTATTTCATTAAGAAAACATTTTTATTTTGGAGCTTTGTGTGTGTGTATGTATTTGTGTGAGTTAGTGAAATTCTTTTACAAGTTAACTACTAGATGAAATAGTTTTATGCTGGATTTTAGGGAGAAATGTTTTCAACACTAGGTTCACAAGAATCTGTGAGCCTGTGAATGAATGGAAGATTTGAACGATGTGCCTTACACAGGGGAAAGGGAATGAGTTGTGTCTAGCTATTTATGAATTGATCCTAATTCTTGAATTTAAGGGATTTCTAATAGTAACATTTTTTCAGGCTTAGTGTAATGAGACTGGGGGGGGGGGGTTGTCTGGAGAGATAATAACTCAGGTAACTCTTAGAAATAAAGTTTTCTTTTCTCCTTTTTGTTGAAACATTCTTTTTTCCAGTGCGTTTATATATATATTTTTTAAGAAGTTGAAGCTGAAATAATTGTAGATATAAATTGGAATAAATTATATTTCTTTCTTAGGGCTACCTTCCACCTACTAAAAATGGTGTGGAACCAAAGCGACCCAGCCGACCAATTAATATCACCTCACTTGTCCGATTGTCTACAACAGTACCAAACACAATTGTTGTTTCTTGGACTGCAGAAATTGGAAGAGTAAGTAATTTTTATATTTACCAGATTTTCCTACTATAAGGAAAAATTAATCACCATGAGTACCTGAGTTTATATTTAAATTATTATACTGTAAAATGAGTTGCTAAAGCCTTTTTGTCATACAATAAATTTTATTCATGTTTCCATTTGAAAAATAGGTTCATGCATTATCCAGTGTTTTATAACCTGATCCTTCATTTCACAATTTATCATAAGTCTTTCTATGCCATTGTTTAGTCTATCCCTGTGGTTGAGCACTTGACTTGTAGATTATCTTTTGCTATTCCTAAGAACATTTTGAAAATTATCCTAATAGGTATAGCTTTGCATGCGTGATAATTTTCTTTCAGTAATTATCAAAAGTAGAAGTGCTGTGGCAAAAAGCATGAAAATTTTTAAGAAATTTTGTGAGTACTGACCAATTTTTTTGAAAGATTCACAGATGTACTTTCCCTCTTTCACTGTTTATTTGGGTATCTCTCAACACAGTCTTATTTAAAAAAAACAAAATCTGTACCTTATAGCGCCAAATCTTATTCAGTTCTTTGCTTTGTATTTTTTTCCTTTTCTCCATCATGCTTAGTCTGTTTTTTCCAAACTTAGGTAAATAAGTTGACCTTCTAGACTTTTACCTTTAAATATTAAATCTAGCCAGGCACCAATAGCTCACACCTGTATCCTAACTACTCAGGAGGCTGAAATCTGAGGATCACAGTTCAAAGCCAGCACAGACAGGGAAGTCTTATCTTCAGTTAACCACCAGAAAAGTGGAAATGGTGCTGTGGCTTAAAGTGGTAGAGCACTAGTCTTGAGCAAAAGAACTCAGAGACAGTTCCCAGGCCCTGAGTTCAAGTGCCATGACCAATGAAAAATAAAATAAAATTAACCTATCTTAAATTTATGTTGTGTGTGATAATTACTTTGATATTTTAGTCAGCTGGTTCATGAGTTCATCATTATCCTGGTGCTATAGCAAGGCCCTATCTCAAGAAAAAAAAGTTATAAATATATATTCTCTAAGAAAATAGGAGAGTTAATACAATGCCTGAAGAAAATAAGTGAGATATTTTTGTAATTTCTTGGCCTAAGTCAGAAAAATTTACCATATTTGGCATTTATTAACTTGGATTATTTGTAGAGAAATTATTTAAATACTGTTATAAAAGGGGACATAATGAGTAGATTGTGTTTTGATTATGCAGAAAGTATCTAATGAATAAACAAAAATAACTATGCAATTATATAGCAGTAGTTGATATTACAAAGCACCTTGAAGGGTAAAACAGGAATACTCTTTTTTATCTACCCAGAAGGATTACTATGACACTGTTGGAATTTTTGCTGCAGAACCTCTCATGGAATGTTAAATATAATTCCTTACTCTCAGTAGGAATGGCTATTTAGTTACATGTTTCAACTAGAGTGAACATATCTTTTTGCTGAACTTGTGGTGTTTTTTACTTGCTCTCATCTTAAATATTTATATAAAGCCTTAGGGTAATTTCAAGTCCTGGAAATTAAAGCTGTCAGTGTAGAATCTTAGTGTTGATTAGCATTTCTTTAGTTTCTATTATGCTTGAAGCATTAAGCAAATAAGTTATATGATTATAATTCAACTAATATAGTCTTTCCTTGAACAGTACTTAGCTATCTTTTGTAGGCCTTCAGTAAAGGTTTTTTTTGGGGGCGGTTCTGGTCATGGGGCCTTGGGCTCTGTCCTTCAGCTCTTCAGCTCAAGGCTAGCACTCTACCACTTGAGCCACAGTGCCACTTCCAGCTTTTTTTCTTTTTGCTATGTAGTGCTGAGGAATCAAACCCAGGGCCTCATGCATGCAAGGCAAGCGCTCTACCACTGAGCCACCTTCCCAGCCCCCTTCAGTAAAGTTTTAAATGAAGTAGTTATAGGTAAAGACTGTTTGAGAACTATGGCTAGCTATAAACTATAAGATGATACAAATTTTATTTTACTTTGCTTTAAGTATTTTTGATCTGCCACTTGATCCTAGCATCAAGTAAAAAAGGATTCTTGTTATTTAGACTTCTCTCCTCCCTTGTGCTCTTTTTTCTTCCTCTTATCCAATATGTACCCTTCATCCAGCCTGGCTTGTTAACTTTTCTTCTCCCCCAACCATCCTGGCTAATTCCCTCTACTGGTAATTCACTTACCAAACCAGTACTTCTCTTTGCAAACCTTAATTACTCTCTTTGTGTATTGTGGTCATGGCCCAAGTAGAGCCTCTTCAAGAACTAGTTGAGCCAGCACTGGTGGCTCACACCTGCAATCCTAGCTACTCTACAGGCTGAGATCTGAGAATCTCAGTTTAGAACCAACTCAGGAAGACAAATCCAAGAGACTCTTATGTTGAATTAACCAACAAAAAGCCAGAAGTGAGTGTGACTCAAAAGATAGAAACAAAAAGCTAAGTATGAGTGTGATGCTTTAAGCTTCAGCAACAGCTCCAAAAAGAAAAAAAAGCTAGTTGAAGACATAAAGGCTAAAAGATAAAAACCAGGAAGCCACTCTGATAATCTGATTTGTAACTTTATTCAAATAACTTTTTAATAACTATTATTTTAGTCTGGCACCAGTGGCTCATGCCTGTAATCCTAACTACTCAGGAGGCTGATATCTGAGGATCATGGTTCAAAGCCAGTTCCGGCAGGAAAGTCTGTGAGACTCTTATCTCCAATAAACCACCAGAAAACTGAAAGTGGCACTGTGGCTCAAGTGGTAGAGGCTAGCCTTGAGCTGAAGGACAGCGCCCAGGCCCAGAGTTCAAGTCCCATGACTGACCAATAAATAAATAAATATTATTTTAAATATATATCTACTGCCTACTAAATACTACTAAGTATGGTTTATGATTTTCAGTAGTCTTGATTTATATTTAGTTTTATCATTGTTCTTTCTTACAGGTACTTTAAAGTCATTAGTTTCAAGCATAAGCAGTCAGGTCTTATAAAAACAGGAAGACCTGGTTTTAGGTTCTAGGTATGTCATTTGAAAGTTGCAAAATTAGGACAGATTCTTTTACTTCTTTATACCTCAGTTTCCTTATCCATAAAAACAGGCTAGTGTCCACCTCAGGTGCTTTGTGGTTAAGAATAAATGAAATACTGCTCATGAAAACACCTAAGACAGTGCTTGAAACATAAGAGGTACTTTAAGAAGTGGGCTTTTTTTTTCTATATTGTTGTGGAATTAAAATAGCTGTACTGTTTTACTTACATCTTTTTTTTTCCCCCCAGACCTATTCCATGGCAGTATATCTTGTAAAACAGTTGTCCTCAACAGTTCTTCTTCAGAGGTTACGAGCAAAAGGAATAAGGAATCCGGATCATTCTAGAGCTTTAAGTACGTATTATAAACTTACTTCATTTATATAGCTGAATTTTTTTGCTAAGGGTTAGTGTTTTTCTCAACCTGAGAAATTTTAGGTTTTTTGTTTTTAATATACAGCCTGTGATGGAATGTTAAAAACTCGAGATTTTTTTTGTTTTTGTTTTGTCGGTTGTGGGCCTGAACTCTGGGCCTGGGCACTATCCCTCAGCTCTCCAGCTCAAGGCTAGCACTCTTACCACTTGAGCCACAGCACCACTTCCAGCTTTTTCTGCTTATGTGGTGCTGAGGAATCGAACCCAGGGCCTCATGCATGCAAGGACAAGCACTCTACCGCTGAGCCACCTTCCCAGCTCCAGAGTGTTAAAAACTCTTGAGAACCTTGTATTGTAAGCTTGTAAAACAAGACCTAAGAGGAGTTTTAACATCTTTGTTATGAGTAGTATTTTATCATCTGTTTTTGTAAGACACATCAAACACAAGAATATTTTGCTACAAAAATATTTCAGGAATTTTTAGAGATGAGGTCTTGACATACATTTTGAGAAAATTATTTTAGGCCCAGGAAAAATATACAATAAGGTAGAAGAAATAAGAAGGTAAGTTATGCCATAATAAACCCAGTGGCCCTGGGTGAGTAACTCTTATGTGTAACAAGAGGTTTGTGACACATGATTCCTAAAGCCTTTCTGAAGTCTGGATTCTTTGGTGTGACTTGCTAGAGGGCTCATTTTGATGTATTGAATTTGAAATGTAAAATCTTGGATTTACTGTCCTCAGTTTTTGAGGTCAGTGGAAACAGAGTTCTGTTATTCTGCTCTTTGCCAGGAGCAGGTTCTTCATAAATGAATTTAGGGACAAGGACTCAGCAGTTGGGTAGCTTTCCTTTATGTATTCTTGATGTGAGTTGAATAATGGATCTCACCATCAGATTTTTTAATAGGAAGGGCATGGGAATAAGACAGGAGAGGTTTTTCTCAGCTTCTTAGTTTCTACAAAATGCAGGATTTTGGGATCCACAGGTGAAAAGAATTTAAAGATGTATCACAAAAAGGAGAGACTTGCCAGGCACTGGTGGCTCATGCCTATAATCCTAGCTACTCAGGAGGCTGAGATCTAAGGATCGCAGTTCAAAGCCAGCCCAGGCAAGAAAGTCCATGAGCCTCTTATCTCCAATAAGCAACTAGAAAACCAGAAGTGGTGCTGTGGCTCAAGTGATAGATAGCCTTGAACTAAAGAGCTCAGGGACAGTGCCCAGGCCCAGAGTTCAAGCGCACTACTGACCAAAGAGGGGGGGAGGGAGAGGGGGAGACATAAGTTGGAAGTTTTAGCAAGCATTAATTTTAGGTTGTCAAATAAAATAGGAAATTAAAAAATAAGTCATCATAGGTGACGGTAGGACTTTCCTTTGGCCTAGACATGTCTTCTAATTCTGTGTCTCTTAGCACTTAGCCTACAGCTTCTTAACATCTCAAAGGAGAAGACAGATGCAAATAACCCCTTTAGTTTTTTTTTGTTTTTTTTTTTTTTTGCCAGTTCTGGGGCTTGAACTCAGGACCTGGGCGCTCTGTCCCTGAGCTTCTTTTGCTCAAGGTTAGCACTCTATTACTTGAGCTACAGTGACACTTCTGGCTTTTTCTGTTTATGTGGTGCTGAGGAATCCAACCCAGGGCTTCATGCATGCTAGGCAAACACTTTACCACTAAACCATTCTTGTAACTTAATATCTAAAAGTAGATGTGATAGAAGAGGAGGAGCTATTTGCTTTAATTTTTCAGGTCTAGTATCCTAGACAGGCCCCTTTAATAATTATTAATTTTGGGGCTGGGAATGTGGCTTAGTGGTAGTGTGCTTGCCTAGCATACATGAAGCCCTGGGTTGGATTCCTCAGTACCACATAAACAGAAAAGGCCAGAAATGGCACTGTGGATCAAGTGGTAGATTGCTAGCCTTGAGCAAAAGAAACTTAGGGACAGGGCCCAGGCCCTCAGTTCAAGCCCCACAACTGGCAAAATAATAATAATATACCTTTAATAGCTCATTAGCAGGTTCTGTATAAAAAGGGTGCTTTTGAAAATTCAAGTAGCTGGGCATGGGGGTGGATTTCTGTAGCCACAACTACTTGGTAGACTGAATTTGGAGGATCACTTGAGCTCAAGGAACCGGGCCGGGAATGTGGTTTAGTGGCAGAGTACTTGCCCAGCATGCATGAGGTTCAGTTCCTTAGTATCACATAAGCAAACAAAAAAGAGTTTTAGAAACTGACTGGACATTTAAAAAAACTAGCAATAATATTGAGTCAAGAGGGGAGCATTAATCTACAGGTGGGGATAGACAGCTAGAAAGACAGCACTGTTCTGGAATCAAGAGAAGTGAGTACCATACAGCAAAGACAGGAAATACTGAGAATCCTGAAAGAAGAGACAGATAAATATCTACCTTGAAGGAGAGGGCAAGAAAGAATTTTTCTTTTTTCATAATCCTGCTGGTTATACTTGCTTCAAAATGCTAATCAGAAAGCATCATGAAATTATGTGAGCCTGTGTGGAAAAGAGAATACCAAGAAATAAGGTAAATAGAGCCATTATATTTAACAATCTTCTCCACTTACTCTAGCACCATCTGGAGGGAGAATGGGAAGGTGGACCTGGAATTGCATTTTCTCTAAGGAATCCCAATAAGCCCCTGTTAAACAGCAAAAACAACAACAATAACAACAACAAAACAAAAAACAGCTTGCCGGGTATCAGTGGCTCATACCGATAATCCTAGCTACTCAGGAGGCTGAGATATGAAGCTCTCAGGAAAGTCCTTGAGACTCTTATCTCCAGTTAGCCATCAGAAAACTGGAAGTGGCCCTGTGGCTCAAGTGGTAGAGTGCTTGCCTTGAGCTGAAGGGCTCAGGGACAGTGCCCAGGCCCAGAGTTCAAGCTCCATGACAGACATAAATCAATCAATCAATCAGCTTATGTTGCTAACAGGATATACACTGAGTGAGATTTTTGTCACTGTATGTATCTTAGCCTGGTAAACTAATGGCCAGGTAAACTAATGGAACATTGGAACATTAATTTGAATTCTACAAGTAAGAGATTTACTCTAATTAACTGTATTAACCTTTGTGTTATCTAAAAGAAAAAAAAAAACCCTATCCAGTGAATTGTGTAAGTAAAATATTAAGAAAACATATGTCTCAGTTATTTTTGAAATTATCAAATTACTTGAAGATATATCCATTATGTTATTCTTAATCTTATAAATAAATTCTCCTAGCAAAGTTTTCTTAAGTCAGTCACTATATGTTCTTGCAGGAATAATGTATTTAGACATTTCACAGAGAAAAATCCATCCATTGATTCATTTGTTTAATAAGGTTTTTGTCTTGTAGTTTTCACAACTATCACAAAAGTCTTTTACGTGTTCTTTACTAGAGTTCTTTGTCAAGTTCCTCTTTCTTTTTTCTTGCCCCTTCACAAGAGAAGCCTTAGCCATATTCTACTCACTGTTCCTCCTTCTCTAAATACCCTGACAATGTCACAAAAAGGGGTTACAGGAAATGAAATCTCTAAACTGCTCATTTCTTCTTTTAGTATGGCCATAACTACTTTTCAACTTAACCTATTTTTGTGCCCATCTTCATTTTATCCTTCCAGTGTTAGAGAAATTGTCCCTTTTTCTGCTCAAAGTTAATCTTTTATTCATTTATTCTCGTTTAAGAAATTACATGAAGAATGTTCTGTGTTTCAAGCACAGGAGAATGTATTATTAAACAAGAGTGCATCATCCCTTTGTCTCCCGAAGTTTGCAGTCTGGTAGAAAGTGACATTAAATTACATAGTTCCAATTCATCTGTATTTATTGTCCCCTCCTCCTTTGCATTTCAAGAATACCTAAATTCTTTTCCTTTCCTCCTGTCATTGTTCACTCTGTCTTAAACTTCCCAGCTACCTCCTTCGGCTAACTCCAGTTATCCTTCATGTTTGACTTCTGGGAGGCATTTTAGAACTTCTAAAAGCAAGAGTTGAAAACAGCTTCCATTAAGAGCATTTTAGAAATAATCTCACAGAGAACATTCACTCCTTAATAGACTGTCAGTATATCTGGGCAGGAATTTAATCTTCTTGGAATTATTTTTTTAACGCAGTACCTGTATTAAAAAGATGCTCAGTTTTTCGTTTATTTGTTATTGTCCCCCCACCCCTTACCACTATTTTGCTGATACTGGGGTTTGAACTCTAGCCTCACACTTGCTTGTCTTATAGTTAGTGCTGCATTGGTAGTACTCTCCCATTTGAACCATGCTTCTAGCCAGCTTTTTGATGGAATTGGCAATGGAGTTTTGTGGTTTTATCTGCCCAGGTTGATTGCATAGTGCCCACATTGAAAGCAGATATACCCTAACACAGTACATGGATTTACATGTCAGTTTCCTCCAGAAACCCCCTCATAGACATACTCAGAAATATACACACACATATTAGAAGCTATTGCATATTCCTTAATCAAGCCATGTTTGTATCTAAAATTAAACATCATAGTAATCACTAAATTTACATTTGCATGTTTATTTTGGCCGGTCTTAATTATCTCGATAAATTACTATTATTTGAAAAAACCTTTATGAAAAAGTTTGGTTAGAGAACGGTGCTGGTGCCACACACCTGTAATCCTAGCTACTCAGGAGGCTGGATTTTAATTGGAAGACATCCCACACAGACAACTCCTAGACATTCTTATCTCCAGTTAACCAACAAGAAGCTGGAAATGGAAATGTGGCTCAAGTGGCAAAGCAGCAGCAGCCTTGAGTGAGAAAGCTATCTAAGAGTACAAGTCCAATCCTCAGTACTGGCAAAAGAGATGGGATGGGGTGAGAGGATGGAAAAGTGAGGGAGAAAAGAAGGAAGAGAGAGGGGAGGAAAGGAAGGAAGAAAAGAAGGCGGAGGTAGAGGAAAGGGGAAGGACTAGCTAAGATTGGGAGGGAAGGGCTAAAATTGGGTAAATAATAGCAAGTGCCTATTCTTCATATGTTATTAAATGGCATAATACTTTGCTGACTATACTTTCCAAACTACAAAGCGGGGGTGGGGGGTTATGGTTTTGGGGCACGAAAGTCAGCTTATAAAATAGTGAAGACTAAATTGGGATTTCCAGGTCATTAAGTAACCTTTTTTAGTCTGGCATACCTTCCCCCCTCTAACTCAGCAGTCAATTCTAAATTACAGTGCTGAGTATACTTCAGAGGTACATCTTAGCTGAAGTCAGTTATTTATGGAAACATGTTTTTAACGGGTCTGGGGAACACCTGGCCCTTGGACTGTTAGGCACATGACGGGACAGACATGTGTGCCTCATGCCGGCTCTCTTGAGGCCGTTGCTCTGTATTGGTAATTTTGAATAGTCCTGAGTGATGCTACAAATATCCCAGAGTCCCTTGGCAAAAAACAATCCCAGTTCTGGTAAAGTGCCAAAGCCAGACGTGTTTTATAAACACAGAGTTCTTTACCCATGGTTATTAGCACAGTGTACATAAGCTCTGATGTCATCCTTGCTTATTAGAGTGTTCTCTCCCTTTTTTCATTTTCTTTATTGGGTGTTATAGCTCACACTTAGCTAGGCAGCAGCCCTCAAATCCTAGGTTGAGTATACATACAAATACCTAATGCTCCCTATACAATGTAGACTTTAAAGTTACTATGGGAGCCGGGCGCTGGTGGCTCACGCCTGTAGTCCTAGCTACTCAGGAGGCTGAGATCTGAGGATCGCAGTTCAAAGCCAGCCCCGGCAGGAGAGACCGTGAGACTCCTATCTCCAATAAACCACCAGAAAACCGCAAGTGGCGCTGTAGCTCAAGTGGTAGAGCGCTCGCCTTGAGCTGAAGAGCTGAGGGACAGCGCCCAGGCCCAGAGTTCAAGCCCCACGACCGACAAAAAAAAAAAGTTACTATGGGACAGTTTCTAATTATTAGAGTATTTAATTTAGGCACTTACTCTGTTTTCTATTGTTATTAATTGAGGTTTTCAGAGTTAACTGGTGCCTCAGGTTTCCAGATGGGAAATATAAAGAACTTTATATATTAAATTGAAGGATAGGTTTTCTTTTGTTTTGTTTTTAAAAAAAAAATCTGGCTGGGCACCGGTGGCTCACACCTATAATCTAGCTATTCATTTAAGAATTGTTAGTCTTGAGCTAGAAAGGTGGCTTGGTGGTAGAGCACTTGCCTAGCGTGCATGAAGCCCTGGGTTTGATTCCTCAGTACCACATACACAGAAAAAGCCGGAAGTGGCACTGTAACTCAAGTGGTAGAGTGCTAACCTTGAGCAAAAGAAGCTCAGGGACATTGCTCAGGCCCTGAGTACAAGCCCCAGGATTGGCAAAGAAAAAGAAAAATAATTGTTAGTTTTGGAGTTCAATACCCAACACTGAAAAAGAAAAGACAAAAAAAGGAAGTTTGACCTGAAAAGATTTAAGTATAGATTCCAGATTTGCCAGAAGGACAAATAACTTAATTACATATAAATGTATGACTCAAATATATATATAATATGTATATATTATATATATAATATATGTGTGTGTGTGTGTGTGTGTGTGTGCGTGCGCGCGCGCGCACACCAGGTATCAGTGGCTCACACCTGTAATCCTACCTACTCAGGAGGCTGAGATCTGAGGCTTACATTTCAAACCCAGTCTTGGCAGGAAAGTCTGTGAGAAAATGTTATATGAGGTTAAAAATTTATAAAAGTAGTTGGGCACCGGTGGCTCACACCTGTAATCCTAGCTACTCAGGAGGCTGAGATCTGAGGATTGAGGTTCAAAGCCAACCCCGGGCAGGAAAATCCGTGAGACTCTTATCGCCAATAAACCACTAGAAAACCGGAAGTGGTGCTGTGGCTCAAGCGGTAGGGCACTCGCCTTGAGCTAAAATGCTGAGGGACAGCACCCAGACCCAGAGTTCAAGCCCCATGACCCAAAAAAAAAAAAAATATATATATATATATATATATATATATATATAAGTGCCCAGCACTGGTAGCTCACACCTGTAATCCTAACTCCTCAAGAGGCTGAGATCTGAGGGTGGAGGTTCAAAGTCAGCCCAGGCAGGAAAGTCTGTGAGATTCTTATTTCCAATTAACCATCAGAAATCTGGAAGCGGCACTGTGCTCAAGTGGTAGAGCACTAGCCTTGAGCTGAAGAGCTGAGGGATAGTGCCCAGGCCCAGAATTCAAGCCTACAACTGACCCCCCCCCAAAAAAATTATACAAGCTCCTTTTTTTCCTTTCATACCAATATTGGGACTTGAACTTGGGGCCTTGTCTCCCCCCCCCTTTTTTTGTGCCAGCCTGAGGCTTGCTGAGCCTTGTCCCCTTGCCTAGCTTTTTCACTCAAGGATGGCTCTGTACCACTTGAGCCATACTTCCATCTTCCTGTGGACTTTTCTTCCTCATAGGCTTTAAACAGGGATTCTCAGATCTTAACTACTTGAGTAGCTAGGATTGAGAACAGGTGAGAGCCACTGGTGCACAGCTTAAAAACTACTGCTATAATTGTTATCTCTTCAAATAAAAGAGTGCACATAATATTAGTCATAGTTGTTTTTTTGTTGTTGTTGTTATTTATTTTCTCTTTATGTGATACCAAGAAATGGAACCCAGGGCCTCGTGCTTGCTAGTCAAGCACTGCTAGCACCAAGCTACATCCCTAGCCCTAATCATAATTTTGTTGTTGTTTTGCCAGTCCTGGGGCTTGAACTCAGGGTCTGGGCACTGTCACTGAGCTTTTTTTTTTTGGTCATGGGGCTTGAACTCTGGGCCTTGGTGCTGTCCTTCAGCTCTTCAGCTCAAGGCGAGCACTCTACCTCTTGAGCCACAGCACCACTTCTGGTTTTCTAGTGGTAAATTGGAGATAAGAGTCTCATGGACTTTCCTGCCCAGACTGGCTTTGAACTGTGATCCTCAGATCTCAGCCTCCTGAGTAGGTTGGATGACAGGCGTGAGCCACTGGTGCCCAGCTCCCTGAGCTTCTTTTGCTCAAGGATAGCACTCTACCCCTTGATCCACAGCACCACTTCTAGCTTATTCTGTTTATGTTGTATTGAGGAATCGAATCCAGGGCTTCATGCATTCTAGGCAAACACTCTACCACTAAGCCACATTCCCAGCCCCAAGTCAGGTTTTTTTGTTTTGTTTTGTTTTTGTTGGTCATGGGACTTGAACTCTGGGCTTGGGCACTGTCCCTGTGCTCTTCAGCTCAAGGCCAAGTGCTCTACCGCTTGAGCCACAGCACTACTTCCGGTTTTCTAGTGGTTTATTGGAGATTAGAGTCTCACAGACGGGCTGGGAAGGTGGCTCAGTGGTAGAGCCCTTGCCTTGCATGCTCGAGGCCCTGGGTTCGATTCCTCAGTACCACATAAGCAAAAAAAGAAAAAAGCTGGAAGTGGCGCTCTGGCTTAAGTGGTAGAGCACTAGCCTTGAGCTGAAGAGCTGAGGGACAGCACCCAGGCCCAGAATTCAGGCCCCACAACCGGACCCAAAAACAAACAAACAAACAAAAAGAGTCTCACAGACTTTCCTGCCCGAGCTGGCTTTGAACCTCGATCCTCAAATCTCACCCTCCTGAGTAACTAGGATTACAGGCATGAGCCACTGGCACCTGGCTAAAGTCATAGTTTTTTAAAAAAGAAAATCTTGCCAGGTGCCAGTGGCTCACACCTGTAATCCTAGCTAGTCAGGAGGCTGAGCTCTGAGGATTATGATTCAAAGTCAGCCAGGGCAGGAAAGGCCATGAAAATCTTCTCTCCAATAAACCACCAGAAAACTAGAAGTGGCGCTGTGACTCAGGTGGTAGAGCCACTCGCGCCTTCTGCTGAAGAGCTCAGGGACAGCACCCATGCCCAGAGTTCAAGCCCCATGACCAACAAAACAAAAGAAGAAGAAGAAGAAGATCTTTATCATTTTAAGAGTTATTAAAAGGAAAAAGACTTTTATTACTTGAGTATGTCAGCCCATTATAACGATTCCTTTTGTTACTGTAGTGTAGTCTTTGTCAGCCCTATCATAGTTTTTGTTTCCATTTGATTGATTAGGAGGGAATAGCAGTGAATTATTTTAATTTTACTTGTTTTCTATTTTAAGTTTTAAAGTTGCATCATAATGTACATTTAATAAACTTGTTCTACTCTTTTGTTTTCTTCTTGAATTTCAGTTAAAGAGAAATTAACTGCGGACCCAGACAGTGAAATAGCTACAACCAGCCTAAGGGTTTCTCTACTGTGTCCAGTAAGTGTTAACTAATGTTTGTTTTGAAGCCTTGCATACATTTATACTTTTTTGAGGGGGGTTCATGGTTGCGGGGGGAGGGGATGGGGGGAGGGCTTGAACTCAGTAGCTCCCCTAAGCTCTTTTGCTCAAGGCTAGCACTGTACCACTTTGAGCCACCATACCACTTCCCATATTCTGGTGGTGAATTGGAGATAAGAGTCATGACTTTCCTTCCTGGGCAAGTTTTGATTCTCAGATCTCAGCCCTCTGTGTAACTGACCAGCGCCTGGCTCCACATTTGTCCTGTTCGTTAAGTGTTTTCAGTATTTGACAAATTGTTTACTTTAAAATATATTCAACCCTTGATAGACTACCAAGGCACAGAATTTGGAATCTAAAGTCTTAAAAATATCCTTCATTTGGCCAGGAGTGGTAGTGGCACATGCTTGCAATGTACTTGGCTGTTGAAATCAGATGGATCTGATTCGAAGGCCAGCCATGGGCAAAAGGGGGAAAGGGAGAGGAGGATGCTACCCAAAATATATGTAACCAAAGCAGAAAAGGGATGGGGACATCTGCCTGACACGCTATTGTACAAGAATGCAAACTCTAGTACCAGATAGGTAGGTAGGTAGGTAGATAGAGAGAGAGATAGGGTAGACAAGATAGATAATCCTTACACTTAAAACTTACTTACCTAAATGTCTTCAAATAATTGATATCTCAAGCTCAGGTATGAAATCATCTCAGTGTATTTATAAAGCTTTTACTTTTAAAAATAGTTCTCTTCTGATAAAAGTCTGGCCTTGATTACCCACACATCTTATTTAGTTATTTGACAATAAAAGCTATAAGAATCTACAGTTCAGCAGGGCGCTGGTGGCTCACGCCTGTAATCTAGCTACTCAGGAGGCTGAGATCTGAGGATCGCAGTTCAAAGCCAGCCCGGGCAGGAGAGACCGTGAGACTCCTATCTCCAATAAACCACCAGAAAACCGGAAGTGGCGCTGTAGCTCAAGTGGTAGAGCGCTAGCCTTGAGCTGAAGAGCTGAGGGACAGTGCCCAGGCCCAGAGTTCAAGCCCCATGACTGACCAAAAAAAGAATCTACAGTTAAAAACTCTTAATTCTAAGCCAGGCGCCAGTAGCTCAGGCCTGTGTAATCCTAGCTACCCAGAAGGCTGGGATCTGAGGATCATTGTTCAAAGCCAGCCCAGGTAGGAAAGTCCCTGAGACTCTTACCTGCAGTTAACCACCAGAAAATCAGAAGTGGAGCTGTGGCTCAGAGTGGTAGAGTTGCTAGCCTTGATCAGAAAGCTCAGGGACAGCACCCAGACCCTGAGTTCAAACCTCCTCTACCAACCAAAAAAACAAAATTGTTCTTCAGCACTGAAAAAGAAAAGGAAAGAAACTAGCCTAAAAAATTAAATTTGTTATGCATTTGGAAACATCATTTAAATGATGGTGTATGATACCAAGACTTGACCAAATTATTAAAATCTCAAAAAAAAAAAAGTTAGTATTGAGTTCACCAATATAGTAGGGATGGTAGTTGAACATGGCTTTCATATGGAAATATGTAAAAAAATAACAGCAAATTGCTGTTTGATTGCCATTTGTGCTACAGTTAATCAAATTAACCACACCTAAACTTTGAACAAACTAAAAAGTTAATGGATGCATTTGTTTCCTTATTTGCCTGGATTATTCAAGCAGGCTTGATATTGAATGCTCTCTATATTGAAATCTTCCTAATGTAAGATGATGATGACGTTATTGTATTCTTAAAGAAACAAAGAATTGGGCTGTGGATGTGGCTCAAGTGGTAGAGCTCCTGCCTAGAAAGCGCAAGGCCCTGAGTTCAAAAAGAAATTAAATTTATCTGTCCTACATCTGAGTCTCTTATAATTAAACTTTAAACACAATCTGAAATCATTTTTAGCTCATGAATTAGTTTATAATACTATATATTGCTCTTCAAAAAAATACAACTTTTCCACTGGACACTGATGGAAGTGAACTATAAAACTCATAGGTGGAGATATGAGGGAGAGACTGGGAGAGAATGAGGAAACAGAAAACACTGTATGAAAGGAAATGTACTCATTATCTGACTCATGTAATTATTAGTCCTATGTACGTCACCTCTTTAATAACAATAAAGTAAATTAACTTTAAAAATCTTTACCAAAAAAAAATACAGCTTTTCTTTGGTGTTAAGAATTCATGCTTATTAGAAAACTTTAGGAAATTGAGATACAACCAAATCTTCCCATCTTGGATATTTCCATCTATTCCTCTAACTTTTTTTCTGATTCTTCTTTATAGACAGTCTTTTCTTCTCTGTGTGTGTGTATATATATATATGTATGTATGTTTGAAGGAGCAGGGTTGAGCTTAGGACCTGGATTTTGTCTCTTAGCTTTCTTTTGCCCAAGGCTGGCACTGTACCTCTTGAGCCACACTTCTATGCCCAGGTTTTTGCTGATTAGTTGGAGATAGGAGTCACATGGACTTCTCCTGCATAGACTGGCTTCAAAACTTGGTATCCTCAGATCTTAGCCTCTGAGTAGCTAGGATTACAGGTATAAGCCACAGGCACCTAGCTCTAGCTAGTCTTTTGAAAACATGTTCAGGTTTTTTTTCTTTATATTACTGTTAAAAATTCCTGAAGTAATTAGTAAAAAATTGTAACAACCTGTGTTGTAAAGGAAACTAGTATTTTACTTACAAGGAATTTATTTAAATACTGGGGAAAAGTAATTGTAAAGTAGTGAATCTCTCGTGTGCGTGCGTGCGTGTGTGTGACGTGGTACTGGGGCTTGAACTCAAGACCTTGCACTCTTGGGTGTCTTTTTTGCTCAAGGTTGGTGCTCTACCACTTGAGCTTGCTTGCCTAGCTGGTACCCTACTACTTGAGCCAGCCAGGCAGCTCCAGCCAGGTTTTTTTGCTGGTTATTTTGAAGATGGGTTTTCACAGACTTTTCTACCCAGACTGCTTTTGAGCCTCAATCTTCTGATCTCAGTCTCCTTAGTAGTGCAGGTATGAGCCACCAGCATCCAGTCTTAGCTAGGATTTTTTTTTTTTTTTGGTCGGTCATGGGGCTTGAACTCTGGGCCTGGGTGCTGTCCCTCAGCTCTTCAGCTCCAGGCGAGCACTCAGCCACTTGAGCCACAGAGCCACTTCGATTTTCAAGTGGTTTATTGGAGATGAGTCTCACGGACTTTCCTGCCCAGGTTGGCTTTGAACCGTGATCCTCAGATCTCAGCCTCCCAAGTAGCTAGGATTACAGGCATGAGCCACCGGCACCTGGCTCCTTACCTAGGATTTTTTTGGTGGGGGGGAAGGGGGGGTCCGGTCGTGGGGCCTGAACTCGGCCTGGGCGCTGTCCCTCAGCTCTTCAGCTCTTCAGCTCAAGGCTAGCACTCTACCACTTGAGCCACAGCTCCACTTCGGCTTTTTTTTTTCTGCATATGTGGTGTTGAGCAATCGAACCCAGGGCCTCATGCATGCAAGGCAAGTGTTCTACCACTGGGCCACCTTCCCAGCCCCTTATCTAGGATTTTTAATCTGTGGTTTTCTTAATATTTGTGCAGTAGTAAAATACTCAGCAGGAATTTGCACTTCAGAGTTAAAGGTCAGACTTAAGCTAGAGTGCTGGTGGTCACACCTATGAACCAAGCTACTTAAGGGACTGATAGCTAAGGGTCATGGTTCAAAGCCCACCTGGGCAGGAACACCCATGAGACTCTTATTTCCAGTTAACCAAAAAAACAGAAGTGGAGCTGCCTCTTCCTCAGAGCTGCCAATATGCCATACATTGTGAGGAATGTGTCAGGATCTCAGAGATAATCTGGTAGAGAAAATACTGTATCTGTGTGTCTTGTAGTATCTAATAAGACATTCTTTTTTCCTTTTCCTAATCCTAGATGGTTCTTAACTTTTCTTCACCCTCTGGAAAAATGCACATATTCAAAGGGGCTTTTACATACAGTTTCAGTGGTGTTTTGGGTCCTTTAACAAAAAACCCATCTGTAGACAGGAATAGGTAACCCTTATTGTAGTTATTTTCTCTAGTTCAGTGTTTCTCTTAATTACTATGCTTGATTTTAACCTGTAGATAGATTTCATTAAAAATGTATTATTTCACTTTTATAAGAAAGCACAAAATGCTTTAAATCAGAACACATACACATAGTTCAGGAACTTTTTTATCAAATCTTAAGTTTTGAACAACAGTTGTCTAACATTTACTTTTTCCCTCTCTTTTGAAGCTTGGTAAAATGCGGCTGACAATTCCATGTAGGGCCCTTACATGTTCTCACCTGCAGTGTTTCGATGCAACTCTTTATATTCAAATGAATGAGAAAAAACCAACCTGGGTTTGTCCTGTCTGTGATAAGAAGGCACCATATGAACACCTTATTATTGATGGGTATGTCATTTTAAGTTCTTCCTTGTACCTCGAAATGGCTATTTATTTGGGTTTGCTGTCAGGTTTGCAGTAAAAAAAAGTCTGGTGGTGTGTGAGTTTGAACCCAGGGCCTTGTGCTTGCTGTACAGGTGCTCTATCACATGAACAGCTCCCCTTACCCTCACCTATTTTTCAGATAGAGTTTCAAGTTTATGCTTAGGTTGGCCTGGACCACAGTTCTCCTATTCATGTTTCCGGTGTAGCTTTTATTGGTTGAGATATAGGGTCTTTATTAATATTTAGCAGACTGGCCTTTGAAACGCTATCCTGCCTACCTCCATCACCCTAGTAGCTAGGATTAAAGGCATTAGTCACTAAGCCTAGCCCCTACACGTGATGTTTTCTCAGTTAAATATTTATAGGATTTCCATTATATTAAAATTGGTATTAGCTAAGTACTGTGGGCTCACAATGGAATCTTAGCTACTCAGGAGGCTGGGACCTTAAGGATCCTAGTTTGAAGCCAGCCCAGCAGAAAAGTCCAACAGACCCTATCTCCAATTAAGTGGCAAAATGCTAGGCTGGAGATATGACTCATGTAGGCATCAGCCGTAAACAAGAAAGCACCATTTAAAGCACTAGTAGTTCAAAGTAAGGTAAGAATACACCTTTTCTTACTGAGTTGATCTGTTTCCACACATGCAGACCATATTAGAGAAAGCATGAAAAAATTAAAATTCTGTAAAAAAAAATTGGCCTTTGCAGTAAGAAGTTACCCTGTTTCTAGAGACTGGATGAAAGGCTCAGTCACAGGGCTCCTAAAACTGACCAACAAACTGGATATCTGCTCCCTTTGCTTTTCTCTGTATTGCTATATATGTCTTCTCTCATTTTTCTGTTTCATCTTTACCTGCTACATCACAATAATCAGTCACTTTAACTGCCATATCTGTTGGGTTTTATCTGTCTTCCCAAATACCTGCTAATGATTCTATACCTTCCGTTTATTCTTTTCTTTTTTTCCCACTGAACAAGAAAATAAATTGTGAAAAGAAGGATATTTTGCCTAGTTAGCACCATCAAAAAGGAAGAGAGAGAGGGAGGGAAACTGATGATTAGTAGTAAATCTGGACTAAATAGTAATATTTTACCATCTATATATGCATTATGCTACTTTAGGTTCCTCCCTTGTGATAAAGTGCTCTCTTGAGTGGGCACTGTTGACCCATGCCTGTAATTATAGCTACCCAGGAGGCTGAGATTTGAGGATTATGATTTGAAACCAGTCTGGACAGAAATAAGACTCTTATCTCCAGTTAACCAACAAAAAGCTGGAAGTAGACCTGTGGCTCAAGTGATAGAGCACTAACCTTGAGCACAAAAGCTCAGGGACAGTACCAGGCCCTGTGTTCAAGCCCTAGGACCAGCACCCCCCCCCCAAAAAAAAGTGGTCCTCTCTCTTTCTCCCATTGAAAAATTGGAAAATGGGGCAAATTAGAAAGTTAATAAATTATGTTTCGATTTTGCTTTACTTGGCTATTATTATAGGGTTTTTTTTTGGGGGGGGTCCAGTCATGGGGCCTGAACTCTGGGGCCTGGGTGCTGTCCCTTAGCTCTTCAGCTCAAGGCCAGCACACACTTGAGCCATAGCACCACTTCCAGCTTTTTTTTTTTTCTGCCTATGTGGTGCTGAGGAATCGAACCCAGGGCCTCATGCACGCAAGGCAAGCACTCTACCACTGAGCCACCTTCCCAGCCCTATTATAGTTTTTATACATTGATTTTATTTACCATTATAACAGAAGAATTTGGCCATGATTAAAGTTATGCATTTCCAGTAAACTTTAAATTTGATGTTAAGATTTTTGATTTTTGTTTCCATTGTACAAAGGGGTTTGAATTCAACGTGTCAGTTTATGAGTACGAAGCATCTTGGATCATTGTCACCCCTTTCGTGATTCTTTCCTATCTTCCCCCACCCCATACATCCCTTCAGTTTTCCTAGTTCCATGTTCACATATATGACTGCGTTTGCCCACCCTTTCTCCATTCAATAAAAAATGTTCTTTTAGGGGCTGGGGATGTGGCTTAGTGGTAGAGTGCTTGCCTAGCATGCATGAAGCCCTGGGTTGGATTCCTCAGTACCACTACACAGAAAAAGCTGGAAATGGCACTGTAGCTCCAGTGGTAGAGTGCTAGCCTTGAGCAAAAAAGCTAAGGGATAGTGCCCAGGCCTTGAGTTCAAGCCCAGGGACTGGCAAAAAAAAATTAATGTCTACATGACACTTTTCAAGACTTAAAATTCACTCGTATCTTTTTATATATATTACTTATTTTATCAAATAAGATATACTTATTGTAGGCAGTTTGGAATGTGCAAAAAAGAATTGTGTGCACAAAATCACTACCCAGAGATGACTGATACTTTTGTTGTTGTTGTTGTTCAGTCATAGGGCCTGAACTGGGCATGGGTGCTGTCCCTCAGCTTTTCAGCTCAAGGCTAGCTAGCATTCTACCACTTTGAGCCACAGTGCCCCTTCTGGCCTTTTCTGCTTATATGGTACTGAGGAATCGAACCCAGGGCCTCATGCATGCAAGTCAAGCACTCTACCACTGAGCCACCTTCCCAGTTCCTGATACATTAAAAAAAAATTTTTAATAAGTTTTTATTGTAAAAATACTGTACAGAGGGGTTACAGTTACATGAACAAGATAATGAGTACATTTCCTATCAAGCATTGTTGCCTCTCCTACCATCTCTTTCCTCCTACCTCCACAACTACACTCACCCCATACATTTTTTTATATCACACATAATTTTACTTTTTGAAAAGATCATCTTTTTGCCTTTATTTTTCTTGAGTATTTTTGTTAAAAGTTTTTTGTCATTTTTCATGGTTGCATGATATTTCCTTACATAATATATCTCAATTTAGGTAACTATTTTTACTTTTTTCTTTTATTGTCAGTCATTGGTTTTGAACTCTGGACCTGAGCACTGTCCCTGAGCTCTTCAGCTCAAGGCTAGCACTCTACCACTTGAGCCACAGCACCACCTCTGGTTTTCTGGTGGTTTATTGGAGATAAGAGTCTCATGGACTATCCTGCCCAAGCTGGCTTTGAACTGCAATCCTCAGATCTGAGCCTCCTGAGTAGCTAGAATTACAGGCATGAGCCACTGGAGCCTAACTATTTTTACTTGTGAACACTGAGCTTTGAAAGCAAATATACTCTTACCTATACTTGCTTGCTTTCTTGCTTGCCTGCCTGCCCACTTCCTTGCATGGTTTTTGTTGTTGTTGTTGTTTTTCAGTCATGGGGCCTGAACTCTGGACTTGGGCACTGTCCCTGCGCTCTTCAGCTCAAGGTGAGCGCTCTACTACTTGAGCCACAGCACCACTTCTGGTTTACTAGTGGTTTATTGGAGATAAGAGTCTCACAGACTTTCCTGCTGGCGTTGGCTTTGAACCGCGATCCTCAGATCTCAGCCTCCTGAGTAGCTAGGATATCAGGCGTGAGCCACCAATGCCCATTTTTGCTTGCATGTTTTGAGACAGGATCTTACTACATAGTTATAGGGAACCTAAACAAATTTTCTTCCTGCTTTTACTTCGCAAGTGCTAAGATCGTAGGCATGTACCACCATACCTGCTCTTCTTTCTTTTTCCTTGTACAATACATAGAAGATCTAAATGTTTGAACAGTAATATTTCTAATTTATTTTCATTTAAAATGTTATATCCTAAGGCTGAATTGTTTTTTTATAGCTTATTTATGGAAATCCTGAAGTACTGTACAGATTGTGATGAAATCCAGTTTAAGGAAGATGGCTCTTGGGCACCAATGAGATCAAAAAAGGAAGTACAGGAAGTTTCTGCCTCATTCAATGGAGTTGATGGTGAGTGGTGGTTTTACACAGAGCAGGACATTGCTGCAGTAAGTCATGATATTCAGTGTAAAATGCATGCTTCTGTGTGTGTGCCAGGACTGGGACTTAAACTCAGCGCCTTACTCAGCTTTTTCACTATAGCTAGTGCTCTACCACTTGAGCTAAACTTCCAGTTTTGGCCTTTTGTTGATTAATTGGAGATAAAGTCTCAAGGTTTAGTCTGCTTGGGCTGACTTCAAACTATGATCCTCAAATCTCAGCTTCCTCAGTGGTGATGATTATAGGTTTATAACACTAGTACTGGGCTTTTTTAAAAAGATAATTATTTTTTATTATTGTGCTGGGGACTCAGTGTGTGTGTGTGTGTGTGCGCGTGCGTGCGTGTGTGTGTGTGCGCGTGTGCACTCATGTGCGCGCACGCGCGCCATGCAAGTGCTCTACCACTTAGCCTTTGCCTTCAATACATACATTTTTATGCTTAATTTATGGACATTTCAACAGTTATTAAATAAATATTCAAAAGTACTACAACTTTTTTTTTTTTTTGGTCAGTCGTGGGGCTTGAACTCTGGGCTTGGTGCTGTCCCTCAGCTCTTCAGCTCAAGGCTAGCACTCTACTACTCCAGCCACAGCACTGCTTCTAGTTTTCTGGTGGATAATTGGAGATGAGAGTCTCACAGACTTTCCTGCCCAGGCTGACTTTAAACTGTGATCCTCAGATCTCAGCCTCCTGAGTAGCTAGGATTACAGGCGTGAGCCACCAATGCCCAGCACAACTCTCTTTTTAGGGGGTCCGGTTGTGGGGCCTGAATTCTGGGCCTGGGCGCTGTCCCTCAGCTCTTCAGCTCAAGGCTAGCACTCTACCACTTGAGCCACAGCGCCACTTCTGGCTTTTTTTTTTCCTGCTTATGTGGTGCTGAGGAATCGAACCCAGGGCCTCAGGCATGCAAGGCAAGCGCTCTACCACTGAGCCACCTTCCCAGCCCCACAAATCTTTTTTTAAATGTACTATTTTTCTAGGTTTTATTTTTTCTGATATACTAGGTTTCTAATAACTCTATTGTAAAACCATACTTTTGAGACTTTTTTTTAGTTCTTGAAAGAATTGGTATAGAATATTTAAGTATATTTAAGTATTTATTTAAGTATATTTATTTGTTTGCTTGTTTTGCCAGTTCTGGGGTTTGAACTCAGGGCCTGAGCACTGTCCCTGAGCTGCTTTTGCTCTACTACTTGAGCCACAGAGCCACTTCCAGCCTTTTTTGTTTATGTGGTACTGAGGAATCAAACCCAGGGCTTCATGCTTGCTAGGCAAGCACTCTACCACTAAGCCACATTCCCAGCCCCTATTTAAGTATTTATAGATACACACTAAAAGCATGTGTATATGTGCGTGTGTGTGTGTGTCTGTGTGTCTGTGTTTTCTAGAGACTAGTGTTAGAGTTTTTTTAATACTACATAATATTTGTTGTATATGTCACAAACATAGATGAATGCATATAATATACAGTCTGCCCATATATATTATTTTTTTTTTTGTCATGGGACTTGAACTGTGAGCCTCAGCTCTTCAGCCCAAGGCGAGCACTCTACCACTTGAGCCACAGCGCCACTTCTAGTTTCTGGTGGTTTATTGGAGATAAGAGTTTCACGACACTCCTGTCCAGGGCTGGTTTTGAACCATGATCCACAGATCTCAGCCTCTTTAGTAGCTAGTATTACAGGCATGAGCCACTGGTGCCTGGTAATACTTATATTCCAAAGTTGACTTGAGACATAAATTTTGATTTTCCTAACTCAGAGTTCTTTTTCAAAATAATCATTTAAGAAGTAAGATGACAGAGGTCTTCTTTGCCTTCTATTTTAATCATCCCCACACAGGATGCTTGAGCTCCACATTAGAGCATCAGGCAGTGTCTCACCAGTCTTCAAATAAAAATAAGAAAGTAGAGGTGATTGACCTAACCATAGACAGCTCATCAGATGAGGAAGAGGAAGAGCCTTCTGCCAAGAGGACCTGTCCTTCCCTGTCTCCCACATCACCACTGAACAATAAAGGGTAAGTGTTATAACCTTTCAAAGAAGTTCTTCTGGAAGGAAAGGAAAAGTGATAGAAGAGATAAGTGATTAGATTATAAACTGGTAGAAAAGTAATAGCAAATCCCCCCCCCCACCAATAACTAATGTAAATCTTTTTTAAACAAAAATGTCCTTATTGTGGAAGTTAATTTTGTAGATAGGATTAAGGACCTATCAAATAAAATAATGTATTATGAAACTTTCTTAGGTTGAATTTTTTCCAAATGTGATATGCTAGAGAGATTAGAGTAATGCATTAAAAATTGTGTGGAGCCAAGTGCCAGTGGCTCACGCCTGTCATCCTAGCTACTCAGGAGGCTGAAATCTAAGGATCACCGTTAGAATCCATCCAGGGCAGGAAAGTCCATGAGATTCTTATCTTTGATTAATCACAGAAAAAGCTGGAAGAGCTGAGGCTCTACTAGAAGAGCACTAGCCTTGAGCAAAAGATACTCAGGGACAGTGCCCAGGCCCTAAGTTCAAGTCCCAGGACTGGCCACAACACCAACAACAAAAAAAAGTGTATGTATTCAGCATATCCAAAGATAATTCTAGTCATGCAGCTGTTCTTAAACTTATTGAACACATACTAAGTCAGGAGTAGGGCCTGTTTGTTTCCAGTAAGTCCCCAAGTGATCCTGAAACTATTCATAAGATTTATAACATTTTTTAAAAATGGGAAAATACCTGGTGTAAAATTAGCCCAAAGTTAAGTGTTCCCAGAGAAATGTTAAGGAAGACCTTATCTGCCTTAAGATAAATGTAAGGCTGGCAAGGAAAGAAGTCAGAGATAACTGAGAATTCAGCTCATAATTAGAGATTTTTTTGTTTCCCTTATTTCCCATTCATATCAGTACTATAAAATACATTGGTTAAGCTTCAGTTCATTTCATGAAACATTGTGTTTTCCTTGTGCAAATCACCTCATGCAAGGAATGGGTAATAGAGAACAAACTTAAGTCCTTGCAGTGGCTGATTAAATAAGCAATAGACAGCCGTACTCTTTTTTTTTTTTTTTCCTGTCCGTTGTGGGGCTTGAACTGATCCTGGGCGCAGCCCCTCAGCTCTTTCAGCTCAAGGATAGTGCTCTATTACTTGAGCCACAGCACCACTTCCAGTTTTCTGGTGATTAGTTGGAGATACGAGTCTCATGGGCTTTTCCTGTCGGGGCTGGTTTTGACTCACAATCATGAGTAGCTAGGATTACAAGCATGAGCCACTGGCACCCAGTTAACTGTGCTCTTAAACAGTCTTAGTCCTAAAAACACATGGACATCTCTGCAAAAAAGATTTCATGTTTGCTGAGTTTTAATTGTAGCTACTGATAGTAACTGGTAGTTTTAATTGTAATTACTAATAGTAAAAATAGAAACAATTGTGGCCCTTTTAATGTCAAGACATTCATAGTGCCTTTTGTACCTGAATAAAAAAATATTAAAAAAATAAATAAAATCTTCTTTAAACAGTATTTCAGGAGAGCATGTAAAGGAGAGAAGCAAAGTTTATAGATATAGTTATACTTTCTAGGTTCAAGAGGGAAGTTGACACTAGACCAAGAGCATATCTGTACTTGGAATCAAATCATTTCCAGGGTTGATCTGGCATAATGAGACTGAAGGAGTCTAGAGTATTTCATCTCAGCATACAGACAAACAGTCATGAAGACATTAGACAGCATCAGTGTTGTAAAGGCAGTCATATTAAGCACTGATTCTGCTCTGTGAACATTTCCTCCTTGATGGCTGCTACCCAACAAAGCTGATCTTGTTGTTGTACCAACTTATTTTATATAAGTAGGTAAAAAGTGTCAGATTACCCAAAACTAACATTGTTAGAATAAGTATTTTTAAAAATGTAATCCAAGATGGCGTGATTGGTTAGTTTCTGCAGCACTGGAGCTGGGATTCCTAGAAGCCTCAGGAACTGTACCACTTAGCTACATTCCCAGCCCTGAGATACTTCGGAGATACATAGTATGACCAAATGCATCTGGATCCCACATCCATTGATTTAACCAACCTCAGATTAAAAGTATTTGAAAAAATAGTTGTACTGAACACATATCAACCCATTTTTTTCTTGTTATTCTCCCAAGCAATGTAACATAACGAAGATTTACATTGTGTTTAGAATGCATTGGATCTTATAAGTACTCTTATAAGAGAGATGATTTAAAGTATAAAGAGATGTGCTTCAGTGGTATACTAATACTGTGATATTCTACGTAAAGAAAGGACACAGGAGCATTTTTGGATTTTTGTATCCAAGGAGATTCTAGAACTAGTCCCCTTTAGATGTTGAGGAATACCTATATTATATTCTTGATGTTGTAATTACACTAAAAGATATTTCCCACGATTCTGAGCATGTAAGAACCTTGAGTTTAAGTGCATTGTTATTTATCTTTTACTCTTAAGAATATTAATAATAGGCAAGAATATTAATAATAGGCATATTATACAATACCACAGTTTTACTGTCTATGTACATTTCCTTAAGGAAAATGTTTATTTAGAAATCTAATAGGTCTTCTTTGAATATTCACTTTGCTGTTTCTCAAAATAGTAGTGTTTATTAGGTTTGGAAAATTACAATAGGTTAATTAAGTACTTCCTGAGTTACTTAGTGACTAACTAAACCCAGATATGCATTTTGTAAATACCAAATCTTTCTCTGTTTTTAGCAAAAGTCTGAAGGTTTATAACATTCTTAGGAGGAGAATAAAACATTAACACACTATTGGCCAGTTTACAGAGATGACTAACCAGTAACTGGAACCTAAGCACAGCTACTATGTAAAGGCACTACATTTCAAAGCATCAAAATATTGAAAGAAAAGCGGTCCTTTAGGAATTAGAAAGAAGCAAATGGCACTAAAGTGAAAAACATTTTGTTGTTTTCAGCCATTGAATGTTTAGTTTATCTAGATGTCTTATATTGGGCAGGGGGCAGGGCTCAAGTGGTAGAACAACTGGCTAGCAAGTGCAAGGCCTGAGTTCAGATCCAAGGGACTGCCAAAAGTAAAGAAAAAAAATAAAATGTTTATATTGTTTGGTCTAACAAGCTATTTTTAGAGAGAAGCATTGCGCATGACAAAGGACACGTCTTTCTACCATAAGTACTTTTTCTGAAGCAGTAAAAGCTCCTTTACCCCCTGTCATTTCTTCTTTTAATGCCTGTAGCTTTGTCACTACCACTTAAGCCATGCCTCCAGTTCTCGTTTTTTTGCTGGTTATTTGAAGATAGAGTCTCTCAGATCTGTCTGTCAAAGTTGTCTTTGAATCTTGGTCTTCAGATCTCAGCCTTCTGAGTAGCTAGGATTACAGATGAGAGCCACTGACACTTGCTCTCTCTCTCTTTTTTTTTTTTTTCCTGAATTTGTATGTCTGTTAGTCTTTGATAGGGTGAGGATAACATGTAACACATATGTTTCCCTAGGACTGTCATTCTTTTTCTTTCCAGAATTATTCTTTTGGGTGTGTGTGTGTCTGTGTGTGTGTGTGTGTGTGTGTGTGTGTGTGTGTCTGTCTGTCTGTCTGTCTGTGTCGGTCGTAGGGTCTGAATTCTGGGCCTGGGCGCTGTCCCTCAGCTCTTCAGCTCAAGGCTAGCACTCTACCACTTGAGCCACAGCGCCACTTCCAGTTTTTTCAGTTTATGTGGTGCTGAGGAATAGAACCCAGGGCCTCATGCATGCAAGGCAGGTACTTTACCACTGAGCCACCTTCCCAGCCCTAGTTATTCACTTTGTTTTTTGCTTTTTAAAAAACTTTTCAGGGCTGGGAAGGTGGCTAAGTGGTAGAATGCTTGCCTTGCATGCAAGAGGCCCTGGGTTCGATTCCTCAGCACCACATAGGCAAAAAGCAAAAAAAAAAAAAAAAACTTTTCAATTAGAAAAAAAAAAATTGTCGTAGGTATCTATGTTCCTCTTTTTTCTTCTTCCAGTTATCTGACTTTCTTAAAAACTCCCTACCACCTGTTTATTTTGGAATATTCTTTCTTCCTTCAGCATGCCTTTTTAAAATGTTGATGACTGTTCATGCCTGTCATCAGGAAGCTGAGATCTGAGGATTGTGGCTCAAAGCCAGCCTGGGCAGGAAAGTCTGTGAGACTCTTATTTCCAATAAACTACTCAGAAAAAGCGCGAAGTGGTGCTTTGGCTTAAGTGGTAGGGTGCTATAGCCTTGAGCACAAAGAGGCTCAGGGACAACACCCAAGCCCTGAGTTCAAGCCCTAGGACCAGCAAAAAAAAAAAAAAAGTTGATGACTGTGCTCTTCACTGCTCAGATTGCTTCATTCCTCTGATTTTGTCTATGTGTTTTCCATACTACGACATACATAGATTTCTTACTAGTCAACCCTCTAGTGAGAAAGCTATGTATTCTTCTGTGTTCTGAGAGTGGAAATATTGAGGTTCCAAACAGAGTCTAAATGTGAATGGCTCACACTCATTCAGGTCTCCCTATATCCTCTACATAATGCTGCTAACTGTATAAATTAGTTCTTCATAATTATGGGTAGTCTAGTTATATTTTGTTTTGTTTTTATTTCCAGTATATTTTGTTTTGTTTTTGTTTCCATGTGAGTTATAACTCCTTTGTTAAACTGACTCATGAAAGTTATGCCAACATTTCCTTCCATATAGCATCTTAAGTCTTCCACATCAAGCATCTCCAGTCTCCCGTACCCCCAGCCTTCCTGCTGTAGACACGAGCTATATCAACACCTCCCTAATCCAAGACTACAGGCATCCTTTCCATATGACACCCATGCCTTATGACTTACAAGGTGAGTCACTGGTTCTCTCTTGTCACAAATGTTGATGAATGCCTTTGGTTTATGTTGTCTTCATTGGGCAAGTTGAAGGAAGAATTGGAAGGTTGAGAAAATAGAGCGTTGGGCCCAGAGAATTGAAAGAAATAATATACTATGGCCATAAAAACTGACCCAGCTCCTTGGTTATACCTGTATCAGTAGCCAGTATTTCACGACTAGTGTAAAACTAGAATAATGGTCTTCATTTTTGTGAATTTTACAGTATTCTACAAATTAGTTTTGGACAACTTCCAGTAAATATGTAGCTTTCAGTTTTGATGTTTTTGAACACTGTTTTTTGATCCCTGATTCTAATGGCAGCAGGAATTGTAGACAGCTGTATTATTTTTTATATAATGCTAAATTAAGGTATTTTGGTGTTTTAAATTCTGTTGAACCTGATCGTCCTTCTCTTCCTTTCTCTTCTCCCTTCTTCTTTCTTTTTTTTCTTTTTTTTTGGGGGGGGTCCAGTCATGGGGCCTGAACTCTGGGCCTGAGCGCCGTCCCTCAGCTCTTCAGCTCAAGGCTAGCACTCTACCACTTGAGCCACAGTGCCACTTCCAGCTTTTTCCTTTTTGCTTGTGTGGTGCTGAGGAATCGAACCCAGGGCCTCAGGCATGCAAGGCAAGCACTCTACCACTGAGCCATCTTCCCAGCCCCCCCCCCTTTTTTTTTTTTTTGGTGCTGATACTAGGCCTTAAACTCAGGGCCTTATGCTCTTGCTTACTTGGCTTTCTCACTCTACAACTTAACCACAACTCTACTTCCAGCTTTTTTTTTTTTTTTTTTGCTGGTTAATTAGAGATAAAAGTCTTTAAGCCAGGCACTGGTGGGTCACATCTGTAATCCTAGCTTACACAAGAGGCTGAGGATTGTGGTTCAAAACCAGCCCAGACTCTTATTTCCAATTAGCCACCAGAAAGCTGGAAGTGATGCTGTGGTTCAAAGTGGGGGAGTGCTAGCTTTAAGAAAGTTCAGAAACAGCACCTAGACCCTGAGTGCAAGCTCCACTACCCACAAAAAGTGAAGTCCTGGCACTTGAACTTGGGAGCCTAGGTGCTGTCCCTGAGCTCTTTTGCTTAAGAGCTTGAGCCACAGTACCACTTCTGGCTTTTTCTAAGTAGTTTATTGGAGTTAAAAGTCTCATGGACTTGCCTGCCCAGGATGGCTTCAAACTGTGATACTCAGATTTCAACCTCCTGAGTAGGTAGGATTATAGGTGCGAGCCACCAGCACAGGGCTTGCTTCAGCCATCTTAACATGAAGTAATGCTTCATCTTTTACAAATATATAACCCCAGATGACACAAGGTAAAAGAATTGTATGTACTTTTGACATACTTAAGCATTGGGAAGGATTTTTCTTCCTTTGGTGGTTTTGTCTGCTTGCTTGCTTGTTTCTAAACTATTTTTTTTCTCTCCCACAGGATTAGATTTCTTTCCTTTCTTATCAGGAGACAATCAGGTATGTTATATTAAAAAACTTTTTTTAACTATATATTTTTAAGTACTTTATAGTAGGTCACCAGAAAAAAGAATTTCCCTGAAACAGCAGTGAGCATGCCAATGGCTTTAAGAATTTAAATAAAAAGCTCTTGATTTCAGCAGTGCCTAAGTATGCAGTAAAATAGTCTTATCTGTTGGTTTCCATTACTGTTTCATAAAGAATCATGGCAGTGAGTTATATTGACTGATGAGTTTCCTAGCCCTGTATAGTTCTGTACTACAAAATGTCATTTGAGCAAGGAGGAACCATATGTATGATGGTGTTCACCGATTTTTGTCTAACCTAAGACATTCTAGCTATTGTGTTACTGGCAGAATATCTTGCTCACGTTTTGTTGATGGACACTGGTAGAAACAACTGACTGTGCCTCTGCTGACAGATAGCATGACACATATACTACGTGCAGCCCACAGTACTCATAATGGGTAGCTTAAACTTGAATCAGTTAATTAATCTCATGTTCACTGCATCTCTTGAGTGCATCATGTTCCCTTGTGCCTGATTTAATTTCATATTGCTTTGTTTGTTATGGCATGTAAGTATGCAAAATCCATTGCTAATGTTGGCAAATCAGGTGATTGAACTGGAAACGAAATTTAAATGATTAAGGACTGTGAAGGTGGAAATCAGTGATTGGCTTGCTTTTCTGGGAGGCTTGTCCCATTCTACTAGTGCTGTGAACTTGAAGAATAAGAAAAAAAGTAGCAGAAGCTTATACAAGACTTTTTTTTTCATCAAGGATGACCAAAAATTTGAAGCCAGGCACAGTGGCTCACACCTATAATTTTAGGTATTCCCAATGCCGAGATATTGAGGATGTCAGTTTCAGGCCATCCTGGCCAAAGAGAAAATAAAAGAGTTCAAAAGACCCCTTATCACCAGAAAAGCCTGTGTGTGGTGGTACATACCTGTCATCCCAGCTGGGTTGGAAGCATAAATAGGAGATGGTCCAGGCTGACCTGGGTAAAAAATGAGATGCTAGCTTAAAAATACCCACAGCCAAAAGAGCCAGAGTGTGACTGAAGTGGTAGGCATCCTAGCAAACACAAAGCTCTGAGTTCACGAGCACAATCAAAATGGAAAAAACTAAAATTCAAGAAAGATGTAGGCCAGGGTAGGTGGTTCAATGGTAGAGTGCTTGCCATGCATGCATGAGGCCCTGGGTTTGATTCCTCAGTACCACATAAGCAGAAAAAGCCAGAAGTGATGCTGTGGCTCAAGTGGTAGAGCGCTAGCCTTGAGCTGAAGAGCTGAGTGACAGTGCCTAGGCCCAGAGTTTAGGCCTCATCACCAACAAGAAAGAAAGGAAGGAAGGAAGGGTAAATCAGGGATGGAGAGCTATTCTAAAGATCTGGGTTGCAGAAGCACAGTCATCTTGGCCAAATGCAGATGGTGATCCAATGAAGCAGAAGGTTTGTTCAAGAGTTTGATAGGAAAGGCTGGACCCAACCAACCATGATGTTGAATTCACTGCTAGCTCGGTATGGTGTCAACAATTTGTTATATCACATGACTATAAGATGTGAGCCTGTGAGCACAGGTGTGAAGCAGCTGAAACACTTTTGAAAAGGAGATAAGGTGCAGGGCGCTGGTGGCTCACACCTGTAATCCTAGCCACTTAGGAGGCTGAGATCTGAGGATTGCGGTTCAAAGTCAGCCCAGGCAGGAATTTGTGTGAGACTCTATCTCCAAATAACTACCAGAAAACCAAAAGTGGTGCTGTGGCTCAAGTGATAGAATGCTCGCCTTGACCTGAGGGACAGTGCCCAGGCCCAGAGTTCAAGCTCCTTGACCAACCAAAAAAAAAAAAAAAAGTAAAAGATCAGGTGTAGGAAAGCACCGATTCTGTAAGCAGGTGCCTGAAATCACCCATAGGGAGACTTAGTGCCAGGGTTGAGGGATTTAAGGACAAGGTAGACATCCACTGGGGCAGTGTTATAGTGACACCCTGGAACCCTTTGGGACACACACATTAATAGTCCATGGCTCTGAGGCATCAGCAGGAACAACTGCAGGAGCAGCAGGAAGTCATGAACCAGCTCCTCTTCCAAAACACCTGCCCGAATTCTGTACAAGCAGATGGAAAGTGGTTTGGAAAATGACATACTTTGCAAGACTTTGCTCATTGTTGATGATGTTTTAGCAAATCTTCCTTGTATTGAGGATCCTCATCCCAGTATCAAAGTGATATTTTTCCCTTCAAAGATCAAAGGTTTCTAGAAGCTTTTCAGCCCTGTTATTTGAGGGAGAGCCATTGTTAGGCCAGTGTTTCAATTAAAGAACCTAAGAAGCCAGGCACTGGTGGTTCCCACCTGTACCTAGCTACTCAGGAGGATGATATCTGAGGATTGTAGTTGGAAGCCAACAGGCTAGAAAATCTGTGAGATTCTTATCTCCAGTTAGCTGCCAGAAAAACAAATGGAGCTATGGCTCAATGTAGTAGAATGCTAGCCTTGAGCAAAAAGTCTTGGGAACAGCACCCAGGCCCTGAGTTCAAGCCCTATGACCAGAAAAAAAAAAAAAGAAGAGCCCAAGAAAATATGAACATAGAAAAAGAAAATATGAACATGATTCTGGAAGGGTTAACAGCAACTGTGATTATATCAAGAACTTTGCTTGGAGCTGGGTGTGGATGTTTCACACCTATAACCGGCTACTCAGAAGGGTAATTTCTGAGAGACCACAGTTCAAGGACAGCCCAGGCAGACTCCATCTCCAAAATAGCCAGAAAAAAGCAGGACTAGAGGTATGGCACAAATGGTAGAGCTCTAACCTAGCAAATGCTAGGCCCCAAGTTCAAATCCCAGTACCTCCAAATAAAAAGAAAAAACTTCAGTAGATGTCGAGCTGAGGTCACTAAGGAACATCTGAGGGCTGGGATGTAGCTCAGTGGAAAGCACTTGCCTAGCAAGTACAACATCTGGGGATTTAATCCCCAGTACCAAAAAAAAACCCACCCCCAAGTCCTAGATAGTGTCTGAAAGAAGACACATAAAGGGATTTGCCAAGTGTGAGATGGTTGCAAAAATGACAAGGCTGGGGCTGGGAAGATGGCTCAGTGGTAGAGTGCCTGCCTTGCATGCATGAGGCCCTGGGTTTGATTCCTCAACACCACATAAGCAAAAAGAAAAAAGCCGGAAGTGGCGCTGTGGCTCAAGTGGTTGAATGCTATCCTTGAGCTGAAGAGCTGAGGGACAGCACCCTGGCCCAGAGTTCAGGCCCCATGACCGGACACTCAAAAAAAAAAAAAAAAAAAAAAACTTTTCAATTAGAAAAAAAAAAATTGTCGTAGGTATCTATGTTCCTCTTTTTTCTTCTTCCAGTTATCTGACTTTCTTAAAAACTCCCTACCACCTGTTTATTTTGGAATATTCTTTCTTCCTTCAGCATGCCTTTTTAAAATGTTGATGACTGTTCATGCCTGTCATCAGGAAGCTGAGATCTGAGGATTGTGGCTCAAAGCCAGCCTGGGCAGGAAAGTCTGTGAGACTCTTATTTCCAATAAACTACTCAGAAAAAGCGCGAAGTGGTGCTTTGGCTTAAGTGGTAGGGTGCTATAGCCTTGAGCACAAAGAGGCTCAGGGACAACACCCAAGCCCTGAGTTCAAGCCCTAGGACCAGCAAAAAAAAAAAAAAGTTGATGACTGTGCTCTTCACTGCTCAGATTGCTTCATTCCTCTGATTTTGTCTATGTGTTTTCCATACTACGACATACATAGATTTCTTACTAGTCAACCCTCTAGTGAGAAAGCTATGTATTCTTCTGTGTTCTGAGAGTGGAAATATTGAGGTTCCAAACAGAGTCTAAATGTGAATGGCTCACACTCATTCAGGTCTCCCTATATCCTCTACATAATGCTGCTAACTGTATAAATTAGTTCTTCATAATTATGGGTAGTCTAGTTATATTTTGTTTTGTTTTTATTTCCAGTATATTTTGTTTTGTTTTTGTTTCCATGTGAGTTATAACTCCTTTGTTAAACTGACTCATGAAAGTTATGCCAACATTTCCTTCCATATAGCATCTTAAGTCTTCCACATCAAGCATCTCCAGTCTCCCGTACCCCCAGCCTTCCTGCTGTAGACACGAGCTATATCAACACCTCCCTAATCCAAGACTACAGGCATCCTTTCCATATGACACCCATGCCTTATGACTTACAAGGTGAGTCACTGGTTCTCTCTTGTCACAAATGTTGATGAATGCCTTTGGTTTATGTTGTCTTCATTGGGCAAGTTGAAGGAAGAATTGGAAGGTTGAGAAAATAGAGCGTTGGGCCCAGAGAATTGAAAGAAATAATATACTATGGCCATAAAAACTGACCCAGCTCCTTGGTTATACCTGTATCAGTAGCCAGTATTTCACGACTAGTGTAAAACTAGAATAATGGTCTTCATTTTTGTGAATTTTACAGTATTCTACAAATTAGTTTTGGACAACTTCCAGTAAATATGTAGCTTTCAGTTTTGATGTTTTTGAACACTGTTTTTTGATCCCTGATTCTAATGGCAGCAGGAATTGTAGACAGCTGTATTATTTTTTATATAATGCTAAATTAAGGTATTTTGGTGTTTTAAATTCTGTTGAACCTGATCGTCCTTCTCTTCCTTTCTCTTCTCCCTTCTTCTTTCTTTTTTTTCTTTTTTTTTGGGGGGGGTCCAGTCATGGGGCCTGAACTCTGGGCCTGAGCGCCGTCCCTCAGCTCTTCAGCTCAAGGCTAGCACTCTACCACTTGAGCCACAGTGCCACTTCCAGCTTTTTCCTTTTTGCTTGTGTGGTGCTGAGGAATCGAACCCAGGGCCTCAGGCATGCAAGGCAAGCACTCTACCACTGAGCCATCTTCCCAGCCCCCCCCC